TGCTGAACTCGGCCAAAATCGCTTAGGCGGTTACAGCGCCAAAAAAAAAGAAGAAGAGAAGAAGCCAGCACAACTCAAAGAAAATTCACATACAATTAACCAAGCTATAGATACAAATTCTTTTAATACCGAGTCAACATTAACATCCAGATTGCGATGAGTATTGAGAAAAGCTGGCCCATTGTGTGCTCGGTCTCTGCCCATGCCTGATCATGCATGATATTTATTTATATAGTTGGATGTGTGCGGTATCACACCTATTTTGCAAAATTATATAATAATGTTACTTCTTTTCAAGGATTATTGTATCAATTTTAAGTAAATTAGCGTGCTTAAATTTCGAAATATCGAAGTCCCAAGCATTTCTGAAATTTACCGGTGTATGAAAAGTAGGCGTAACTTAAGTCCGGTTTCAAAGTTTTGCTTTTGTGTGGCAAACACAATAATAATACCGAGTTTGGTATAAATTGATCGAACGCTTACCGAGATACACATATATGGGCAAAAGTTGGCCGTGCCACGCCTGCTCTCAAAAATTTAATTATAACCATATTTTTTTCTAAAGAATTATTGCAAACATCAATTTTGAGTAAATTAACTTTTGTAGTTACTGATTTATTGAAGATTTTGTAATTCTCTAAATTACTGTTATATGAGATGTTGGCGTGGTTATTGTCCGATTTTAAGAATTTGTGTGCCGTGTGGTATATCTTACCAAGGTCAACAACTGGGGCAAGTTTGAGAGAAATCGGTGTAGCGGTTACAAAGCTATACACATGTTATCATAAGGGGCGTGGCTACGCCCATTTTCCAGAAATGTATAATAACTTGTAGGACTGTTGACTGGACACTTTTCGTGGCACAAACACTTGACTGTGAACGGCATCCATGACAACGCCATTTGCTCTTCCTGCTTTGAATAGGATGAGAAGTCGGAAGACTTTCTGTGGCTCTGCCCCGCCTTTGCAAAGATAATGTGTGAGGTTTTTGGCAGAGATGAGTTGTGAGATGAGTACCGGGCTCTTCAATACCTAACAAATTGCTTCAGTTTATTCGTAAATCAAGTAGATTTAAAACAGACTAAAAGAAACACGAACAAAGTACATTTGAGTGCTGTTTTCTGCACGCATTAGTTGCAGCTTTTTTGACAGATGTCGCAACAACTACGGCCCATTGTCAAAGCCTATTGATACTATATACTTTGTCAACTTTTCGGTTAATAGCAGGTTTCCATAACGCACCCGTGCAGTCCCTCCAAAGCAAATATTGACATGAATTGGCAGTTTCTTATTGACTAAGATGTATATTAGGGCCGTTGCTGGATCAATAAGTATAAATAAGCAGTAGCTTCTTTACTCACCTCTTAGTGCAGTCAAAGACATATTCCGCAACAATTCTTATATTTAGATTAGAACTATTATATTCTATCGATGTACATACTTAATTTTGAATAAATGATCATAAACATGTGAATATGTATTTTAATATCGAGATTAGATGAATAGGGAGCATAGTTAAAACCATAAACCAATAACCTTACACTAACGATACCTTACACATTTTTTCCAAAGTTTTTTTGCACCTCGAGCCAAACAAATCCAGTATAAATCCAACAAGAATGCCAAGAGACTCAATCCCATACCTACACCATATGCCATCCAAACCCACGCAAACTCTAAATAAAAATAATTTCCCGTTTGAATGCTTCCACTTTTTTGGAAAATACTTAAAGTTAATTTCAAATGTATGCAATTTTTTTCAAAAAATATTCATAAACATTTTTCCATAGGATACATTTAATTTAAAAATGTATTCCATTCGTTATCTATACTCCCGTTTCCCGGCACCGGGAAACACAAGCCTGAAGTTATACTTTTCAGCAAATCCTTCAACAAGGTAAGACAAATATTCGTATTTATAAATTACATAGTCTTCACCAACACGCAGCATTGAAGTTGGCTTAATTTGGTCCAGCAGAATGCGTAATTCCTTTCCGCCCACATTTGCCAACCGATTCGGATATATAGACCGGAGGAGCATAAGTCATGAATTTCCAATTAATTGAAGGAATGATAAACGTGTGTGGCATCGGAATCGCGAGGTAACAGCGCAACATTAAGAAATTTCAATTGCTCGCAGAGTTTAAAAAATGTTACAATATCCGATTTGGTAGTGGATGAAAGATCAGCTGGATGATTCCTCATCAAAAAGTAAGCAGCAAATGGATGCTCCTTTTCCGCTCGAAGCATCAGGTGTCTGAATCCTCTCGGGAAATCTTAAGTATTTGGCTGCACAGCGAAGCAGCGATCATAATTGATTTTTACATTAGCCGTGTACACCTCCGTTATCCATGAGCATAACAAAATAGTGAGGGGTTGAGCAAGCATTGGTCTGTAATTGCTAAAGAAATGATTTAAGCTTGTTTATCACTGATTTGTTATCAATTTGTGGGGGTTTTAGCAAATGTTATTACTGGCAGTGGCCCTTGTTATGCTACGATAGTCATGACGTGGCATTCATAAATGCTTGGACAGCAATTAGTATTATGTACTTGGTCTGTGTCTGTCATAGCCCAGGCTGTTAAATTATAACTTCTGCTATGCATAATACTACCATACCACTTTTATTGTTTGAACAGCTGATTGCCTCGTAATTTCCCCACTAACTGATGCCTCAGTCATACATAACGGTACTTAAATACATTCTCAAAGTAATATGAAATTTCATTTGCTTATTTCATCGACTATGACCCTTGTACGAACTCCGCCTTTAATATGGAAACATGCGGCGAACAGCCATTGTTTCAATTAGCTGAGTTAAAAAACTATATTTTGCGTTTCCATCGAAAGGCAAATTGTTTTCCTAAGCCAACTACATATTTTGTATAAAAAAAGTAGAGAATTATTAAAAACAAAAACCCCACGGCTAGAGAAGGAGAGATTATAATTGAAAATTCATTCT